CCCCTGTCCATGGGGGACACTGCTCAGTGCTTCCTGCCTCTGCTGAGTCCCCATGAACTCCCGGGTGACCTGCTGGGACAGCCCCTTGTCTTACTAATTAAAGACGAAGACAATCTGACACGTGTCACGCAGTGAGCCTGGAATGACCCGCGGTGGACGAGACAGGTCCTGTCCCAGCGGAGGCAGGCGGCTGGGCATAAAAGACGACACTGGGCTACCCAGACGCGGTGTGCTGTAAAATGAATGTCTCATTAATTATTTATATTGATTACACGTTGAAGTGACATTTTCGAATCCTTGGCTCAAATAAAATACATTTTCTAAACTCAATTTCACCTGTTTCTTCTTACTTTTTCAATGTGGCTACTGAGCAAGTTCAAAGCACGCGTGTGTGCTTTGCGTGTTACTTCTGTGGGTTCCCGAGAAGACAGGAGCCTGGTGGAGAATGTGCGTGCCCTGAGGCCGAGGACGTACGTACCGCCCGTGCGTTGTCAATGAAATATGCATGACGGCGAGGCCAGGGGCCGAGAGGGGCCGCAGGGGAGGAGTAGTGCAGGGGCAGGGGTTGAGGGTGTCGCTGCCGCCAATCCCACGGGGGTGGGGCTTAAACGGAAATTCTCTCTCTCGTCCCGGGGGCTGGGAGTCCAAGGTCAAGGTGTGCATGGGGCTGGTTCCCCCTGAGGCCTCTCTCTGTGGCGTGCAGACGCCAAGTTCTCCGTGTCCTTGCGTGGTCGTGCCCCTGGGCGTGTCTCCTCCTCTTCTAGGGCCCCAGTCCACGTGACCTCACTTGACCTTAACCCCCTTCTCCAAATACATCACGTTCCGAGGACCTGGGGCTGGAACCTGTGGATCTGGGGAACACAACTCAGCCCCTCACGGAGGTGGGCCAGGTGAGACGCGGGGACGGCAAGACGCGATGGGACTGGCGGGTCCAGGGTGCCCAAGGAGTCCAGGTCTCAGAGACAGTCACCGGTTAGAAACCCCCCAGAACTACCCTCATTCTTGAAAAGGTACATTTGGGAAATCTGGAGCCGTGCGTAAGGCGGGGACCAGAACCGCAAGAAGGTTTATGAGCAAGACATACTTGTTAATTTGGTTTGGTTTGCTTTGGCTTTTGTTTGGTTTTTTAAAAACAATGACCAAAATGGCTGAGAACTCTGACAGTTCTGAGAAATGCTGTCAATTTTACTTTAAAATGAGACTTGGGTGTTTCTGTGCATTATTGTTTTCAATAAAACTTCCTAAGTGTCTTAGAATGAACAACAGCACAACCCCAGCGAAATGCATCCGTGGATGCTTCCGTGGAAAATCTCCAAGATGATTCGGTGAGAACAATGAGGCTTCAGAACAATCTGCAGCTACTGTGCAAAGCGCCCCGCCCCCGCGAATCCAGCGTACTTCTGTGTGTCCGTATGTTAGGTGTGCACGTCCATCCACGGACGGAAGGGGCTGGGATGGACTGAGTGGCGGTTTTTCTTTACGTTGAAAATCTGCTCAACAAGACGAGTGGCGGCTGCACTCGGGGAACCACGCTCCATCACCGGCCCCCATGCTGTGTGATTTGGGGCAAGGCCCTGACCCTCTCTGGTCTGGAGCAGGAAGGGAAGCAGTTCGGCCAAGCCACGTGTCCTCACTGTGAGTGCATGCATGTACACAGCACACACACACACGTGCACACAGCCGTGTACGTGCAAAGGCACACACGCAGAGGTGTGCACGGACACGCAGTCCCATATGTCCACACGCGTGGACCTTGCTTGGCTCTGGCGTCCTGGTGACATTTCACCGTGAGGGAAACGGGCCAAGTTGGGCCCAGGAGCTGGGGTCTTGCAGAACCTGGTCGGGAGGGCTGGGCATGTGACCTGAGGCAGGTCCCTGCCCTTTCTGGACTCAGCGCCACTACGGGACCGGGAGGAACTCACAGGCGGGAGGGAGCTTTGTGAGTCGGGAAGTTTGCAGGCTTCGCAGCCTCGGGTCAAATGCAGATTCTGATTGGGTTGGTCCAGGCAGGCCCAGAGAACCTGCATCTCTAACGGGCTCTCGTGGCTGCTGCTGTGGGTCCCCATGCACGTGGTTGCAGAGCCAGGCTGGGTGCGGGTGTGGGTGGGGGTCCCATGGAGGCCCCAGCAGGCGGCGCTGTCCTCCCTGGAGCCTCCGGGAAGTTGGAAGGAGCCCTGTCGCCCTCAAATCCTGTTACATCCTGGCAATTAGAGTTTATCACTGTGGCACTAATCCCTTAAAATTAGTCATTAGCGGCTTAAGAACCATTTAGCGTCGGGTGCCCACTAATGAGTTGGCAGAAGTAGGGATCTGCCAGGAAGAACCAGAACTTTCGTGTGCTGTCTGCGCCTCCCTGGCTCCCCGGGTGGGCGGCCCCAAGGGTCCTGGACCAACTCCAGCAGCAGGTGCCTGAGTCAGCCCGGGGCTGGGGGTGCTGGTGGGAACCGTGCTGCCTGTCCCACTCGGGAGGGCGGGCCTCCCCTGCACCTGCATGCTTCTTCTGGAGAGGAAAACCTCGCCCTGAAACACAGGGACCGTCCACCGCCGGCTGGCCCTGTGTCGGCGCTGGGTGGGTGGGCCGGGCCCCGGTGGGCTCTGCAGCTGGAAGGGGCCTTGGAGACCCTCTCTCTGTGGAGGGAGGAAGCTGGGGGCCGTGGCAGGGACGAGGCCCACGTCTGGTCGTCTGGACCCGAGGGAGGGCCTTGGCTGGATTTTAGCTGCCTGGCCCCCACCCCGCCCTCCTACAGAAGCTGGGAAGGTGGGCGGGCGGCCCAGGCTCCACCGATCCGAGAGCTAGCGGGCACCCTAACTGGAGAGGTGACAAAAGCCTCGGGGATGGGTCAGGAATCCCAGACAGAGATGGTATTGGAGTCCTGCAGGTGGGGGCCTCATGGCATGTCAGGCAGTGGGTAGGTGGTGGCCACGGGGCCATGTGTCCACCAGTGGGAGGAGGAACTGTGGCACGATGCAGTCCAATTCCTCAGCCCTGACCCAAATCCTTCCAGAACATTCCTCTCTTGCCCAGGTTGGCATTGTAACCAACAGTACCCCTTGGGGGGCATCCCGCCGGGACCCCGGGCCCTGGTGCTCACTGCTCCCTCCGTCGCCCACTGGGCAGAGGTGAAGAGCTTCTGTCGTGGCCCACCAGCCAGGACTCCCCTGGCCTTCCGGCCCGTCCTTCGAGGTCCCACCTGCTGCCGGGGCCCAGCTGGACCCCCACTTCCTAAGCCGTCTCGGCAAGAACCAGCCCCCCTCCCACCGCCCTGGACGGTGGCTGTCTGCAGGCTGGGATGGCGCCCGCGTGGGTAGACCTGCACGCGCACAAGGGTCTCAACGCCAGCCCACCCCCGCCTCCCTGAAGGCTTTCTGATGGTGCAGGACAAGAGATCCGGGACTTGGCTCAGGCCGGTGAGTCCCCAGCGCCTAGAACAGAGCCGGACACACGTCTGCTCACGATGGTCTGAGTGGATGAGTCCATTCTGAAGCCTGCACCCCCAGGATCTTCCCTGCGAGGAGCTCCTCTGGGGGTTCCCCTGGCCCCAACATGGGGAGTGGGGTTTTGAGTGCCGTCCGTGAGACAGGACGCGAGCACGCTGGGGGCTCGCAGCACCTGGTGCTGGGACCCCTGAGCTCACCTCAGGCTGTGGAGGGCAGAAAGCCCGCCCCGCACTGGGCCAGAGTCCCCGTGCCGACTGGCTCACGGCCCTGGAAGCCACTTGACCGCACCAGGCCTGTTTTCTCATCTGCGGAGTAGAAACAGCAAAGGTCCCCCCGACCCCGGCCATACTGAGATCAAAGGCGCCAGGGGACTCGGGGTCTTAGCAGGAGAGCCTGGTGGCCCTGCAGCTGACCTTGGTGGTGACCCTGGGGCCTGGCCAGGCCGTGTCTCTGTCTGGGGCACAAGTCCACGGTCCAAGCTCCAGAGCTGAACGGGCCCAGCCTCATTGAGCTTTGCTGGGCATGGGGGCTCGAGGATGTGGGGGTTGGGGGTCAGGGTGCGGGGGCTGTAGCCGGAGCCCCCCCAGGGTGTGCGCCTGGAGGTGACATGCAGGGCATGCTCTCCCTGGGCTCTAGGGAGCAGGTGGACCTAGTCCGGCCCCACCCCCCACCGCCAGTAGCCTCGGGACCCACTGTTGGCAGAGCCGGCTCGCTGAACTGCTCCCCCCACCTGTGCCGGGCTCAGATAGCAGGCTCACTGCATGACGTGATCTCCGCGCCCATCGTGAGGCTGCCCGGCCATGGGCCGGCGCCACCGAGGCAGACGCATGGGGCGGCTGATGTCAGGACCCATTTTCCCCATGACTGGTGACAGGCCTGGCGTGCGGAGCTGTGCATGTCAATGAGGTGGGGCTCCGGCCTCCCACACCAGGGAATCCGTCTTCTGTCCCCCCAACCTCCCGTGCTGGGGGAGGAGGGGCAGACCACCACCCCAGGCCCCCCCAAGCTCATAGGCCCCCGGTCAGCAGGCCCCGAGCTATGAGCACAGAGGCTGAAGTCCCTCCTGCACGTGCAATGTGGGCCCCTTCCCATGCAGGCAGCCCCCATCCCCGTGCTCCCAGCCTGGCCTGCAGGAACCTCAGCCCTGGGCGCCCAGGTGTGGGCACGCTGCTCGTCCCGAGGGCACCAAACCAAGGAGGGTGGGACTGTGGAACCGCTCGTCTCTCCCATGGGGCCTGGGGTTTTGGGAGACCCCCACCCCCATGACAGGCCCAGCCAGTCCTTGCCACCAGCACTTATGTGGGGGTGCTCGGAGCCGCCTCCCTGGCCGGCATCCGAGGCCACAGACCGGCCCATTTGGCAGGCGGGTGACCCGAGTCTGGAGTTGGGGAGGGGCCTTCGCCTCTCTGCTCCACCTGAGCCCCTCCTCCCTTTCCTTTGCTAGCGATGGTGGCCCCTGGGCCACCACCCACTGTCCCCTGGTGTCCAGGGGCTGCCCTGGGGCCAAATGGAGGGTCGGCAGAGCAAGCCTGTCAGCTCAGACACACACAGCGAGCCGAGCAGGGTGGCCAAGGAGCAAAATTTATTTCAGGGGGAGCAGGGACGTCGGCTGGCAGCCCCCCAACATGGCTGGGTTTGAGCGGTGCGTGGGTGGGGGCCCACGCTGGGGCGGGGACCAGAAGTGGGCTGGGATGGCTCGGCCCCCAGGCCTCTGGCCAGAGCAGCAGCACTGCACATCCTGGGGAAGGAGGAGGGCGGGGCCCCTGCACTGCAGAGCGGGTGGACCCCGGGCAGCTCGGCCCCTGGGGCGGCTCGGTCCCCGCTGGCTCCGGGTGCGCTCACAGGGGTCCCGGGCAGGTGGGCAGTGTGCGGCCCGGGCCGGATGCGTGGGGGCGGCTGCGCACGTGCACCGTGGAGCTCAGGTGCGGCAGCCACTGGGGCCCACGGCTGCAGGCTAGGCCACGGTCTGGCGGCTGAAGAGGTCGAGGGTGAGGGCGCTGAGGAAGGCCGGGATGCTGTCCTGGCGCAGCAGGTGCAGCTCGATGAGCTCCCGCACTGAGTGTGAGAACGCCGTCTCCAGCAGCTGCATCTTGGCACCCGAGGGTCCCGTGGCCTGCGAGGTGGGCAGGAGACAGGGAGGACAGCGTTCAGCGTGGTGGTGGCCTGGGGGTGCCCCATCCCCTCCCCCCAGGGGGAGCGCGGAGACCCTGTCCCACGAGCGCTGGGCCAAGTTGCCCCTGGAGGGTCGGTGCGGGTGGGGGCCAGACAGGCGCGGCACTGCCCCCATGCCCAGCGAGGCCGGGCGTCTCCCCTTCCCAGCGGGCGGGGGATCTCACCCACGTTTCTGGAATCTAAAACACAGCTCCTCCTGGTTGGCCTGTCCAGCCTTCCCCATTCTCAGACCCCAGCCGCCACGAGGACGGAGGCCTGCACGCTCCCCAACAGCGCTGGAAGGCTGCGAGGCGCCCTGGGGTGGGGGCTCCGACATCTCCCGCCCCGGAGGTGGCTGCCATCCAGGCGGGGCACGGGGCTGATACACATCCCATTTCTTCCCCGTCACACCCCGTTGGCCATGGAAAGGAGGGGGTTCCCACTGACAGCTGGGAAGCTAACCCCGCTCAGTAGGCCTTGCTGAAAATGCCCCTCTGGGCCTCAGTTTCCCTGTCTGTGCAGTGAGGGAGCAGGAATCTGGAGTTCTGCTGGCCTGCAGGAAATGGCTGTGGGGTGCCGGGGGGCTGGGCAGTCCCAGAGAGCACAAAGCGGGGGTGTGGTCCCGGCTTCAGGGCCCGGGGAGGCCGTGGAGGAAGACGAGTCTACCCCACGGTGACGGAGACGAACCTCCAAATGCCTCAGCTCCAAGCACTGTGTGGGACCCAGGGCAGGGCTCCCCAAAACCAGCTGGCTGTCCCCTCATGTGCAAGTGGGGAGACCAAGGTCCCGAGAGCTGGGGCTCACCCTGGGTCGCAAGGCAGGTCTGGCCAGAGCCAGGCCTGGGCCACAGGGCCAGGTGCTCCGGGGGGGGGGGGGTGGAGGACAGCCAGGGGTTCCGAGCTGGGGGCGCAGACGAGGCCCGAGGGTGCCTGAGCACTTAGGCATGGGGCTCACAGTGCCTGGGAGACTCCCAGAAGCAAGGGGAGGCTGCCTGAGCCCGGACTGCACCCTGCCCGCCCTGACGTGGGCCTCACCTGCCAGGGGGCTGAGCCAGGTGAGTAGGAACGCCTGGGGCCCATGCTGGCCCCTGGGAACGTCCCCAGCAGGGGTGGGGGAGCATTCAGGGCTCTTGCCTGCCGGGTGAGCTGGGGGCATGGGCCAGGGAAGACGGGGGTGTTTGCAAGACAGAAGCCTGTGGCCCTTGAACGCCATTCAGCGAGGTGGGTGGCACTGGCGGGGCAGCTTAGGGAGCTGAGTGGGGTCACTGAGGGTCAGTACCCCCCCAAAACCAACTTCCCTCCCACTCTGCACATGCAACCTGGTCAGCTCAAGGGCGGGCTGGGGACCACGCTGAACCCGTCTGGAGAGTCCCCACTCCTGATGACGGAGGACCCCCCTTCCTGGACAACTCTCACCAGGAAAGGCTTCTCCGCAGGGACCCAACCCGCCCGCTTCCTGGTGCTGCCTCCAGGGGCACCTGCTGTACAAAGACTCTCGGCGCACAGAGAGCTGATGACCGCCGGCTCCTGTCCGGGGCTGGCCCGGGGCCCGCGCGGCTGTTGGTGTGGCTGTGGTAGGCGGTGGCTCGCTGCTCCTGCCTGCAGGACACTCACTCTCAGCCCGCGCGGCTCACGGGGTCCACGTCCACGGCCTCTGCGCGACGAACGCCCCAATTACAACGCAGGCAAATGATCCGAACGGGTGTTTGTCCAGAGAACACGCGCAGGTGTCCGATGAGCATGGGAAACCCCGCGCGGCATCACCAGCATGCAGGGAAGGGCAAGTCGAAACCGCAGCCATGAGGGCGGCCACGGTCCACGAGGACGGCCACGGACCACGGCGGGCAGCGGTGCTGGTGAGGCCGCGGAGCGGCAGGGCCTGTGCACGGCTGCTGAGATGGAAGTGGCGCCCCCACCGGGCAGAACGTTCTGACGGCTCCTCCTGGTTACACACACGACCTGGCAGGTGCGGCCCTGGGTGCACAGTGAGGACTTGTGCCTCGGTCCACACAGATGCCCGGCCATGAGCGCTCCCATTTCTAAGAGCCAGGTGGGAACACCGTCAGCGGAGGAGAGGTGATGAAATGTGGGGTGCCTCCAACGGGACAGGACTCGGCCACCAAAAGAATGAGGCTCTGACCTCCACCGCCACAGATGCGCCTCGAACACGTGCTAAGCACAGACCATCGCGCTCGCATGTGGTCACTGATCCAGAGCAAGCAGAACGGCAAGGGCATGGGGTGGAGGGTGGGTCAGTGGCTGCCAGGGGCTGGGCCGTGGGGGTGCGGGTCCCCTGCGTGGTGCGGAGAAGCCCCAGCATTAGCTTGGGACGCAGCAGATACACGGATGCCACCCTCCTCCTGCAGCTGCAGCAGGCTGCCCGCTCACCCCTGCACACCGTGGGCCTCAGGCCCGGCCCAGCCTGGCAGGTGTGGACCCCCGTGTTCCAGGCCCGGAGCTGCCCCCGAAGGGCAGGCGGGCGCCCTCTGCGACCCCAGAGCCGGAGCCGGCTGTGCCTGGTGTCTCCTCCGACGGCGCGCCCCGCGAGCCCCGAGCAGCTGTTAGAGCTCGTGGTGCCGGCGCTGCCCGGCTCCCTGCCTGGTTCGCAGCCCAGACGCTCCCCTGCCGCCTCCCTAGGGCGCCCACCCCTCCCCGAGCAGCCGACCCTGTTCCCTCGTCCGCTCCTACATTTAGCCCTGTCATAGTTCAACACAAACCATTTTTAAACAAAAGTAAGAGAAACCACTCTGACCTTTTACCAAGAAAATCCTTTCATTTCTGCCTTCTGCTCAATTCTGAATTTCTTCCCCTAAATGTCAGAGGGGCTGATTCTCTGCAGCTGTCGGGGGGAGAAGCCAACGCAGGGCAGGGGGGCGGTGAGGGAGGCCACGTGCGCTCCTGGCTCGGCGGCTGAGGGAGAGCCATCCCCTAAATTGGGGACCCCTGCCCACTGCACTGGGGCCCTGGCCAGGACCCTTGCCCACCTGGGATGGGAGGGGGTCTTCCGGCAGCTCGGGCATAAGAACGGCGTTCTGTGCGTGCCTCCCCAGATCCCCGTGGGCTATGGGGCCCCCAACCGTGCTTTGTTTACACGCATCACACGTCCCTCACGGCTCCAGCCCCGAAGCCCTGTCTCGAGGAACAGCACAACTGAAGACGAGCCAGTGTGAGGTCCATCCTGGATGCCTCGGTCCACAGGCCCAGCATTCGGGAGATACCGGTGCTGTGCCGGGCCCCGTGGGGCTCCAGGACACCACGGACACGGCGACACCGGGCTGGGGGTGAGCTGGAAGGAGGCGTGACCAGGGCCACGTTCTCATCTCAACCCACATCAAGGCAAAGCTGAGGGTTTGCGACCGGCCAGCCGCCACTGGCCACGCCTGCCGGTACCGTTGTCGGAGGGGCCGGGGCCAGGTCCTCGCCCGGAGACGGTGTAGACATCGTGTGGCTGCCAGAACGTGCCCCTGAATTACGCAGTGCTGATCAATCTCTGCTAGGCTCCTCCGTGTTCAAATACCACTCGGTCCCCAGGTACCTTGTAAATCACTCTAATTAGGGGCTGTTCACTTAAAATTAGAGAGCAATTTTTTAAGAAGCAAATTGCCCAGTAAGACGTGTGTGGCTGTGACTGGAAATACTTATGGGCTGATGGCTGGTCTTTGCCTCCTCTGCCCCAGTGTCTGGGAGCGACAGGCTGCAGTGTGGCTGGCGGGTGCCATAACGAGGCCTGCACTGCCCACCGGCTGGCCGTCAGGCGCTCCGGTGGCCCAGACTTCAGCCAGGCCTCGCCTCGGGGCCTCCTTCTCCCTCTGACGGGAGAGCCGGGCCTCCCTCGAAGGGTTTGGCCCAGACCTCCGTGAGTAGGTCTGCCTGCCGCGGCGTGCATCGTGGAGAGGGGCCAGTGCAGGGGCGCCGGGGGCATTGCGGGCAGGGGGGCTCTGCCGCTGCAGGTCGGCGTTAAAAGTGTGCAGTGCTTACACAATGCCTGGCTCCAAGGGGGCTTATTAAATGCATCTGGCCGCCCCTCAAGCCTGCGGCGTCCCAGCCGGCAGGTGCTTTGTGACACTCCTCTCGTGAGATGCCCTGAGTAGGGACTGCCGCCCGAAAGCAGAGACAAGAGCTCCCCATCGGCGGTCCCCTCCCGAGCCCCCAACTGCAGGGGGTGGTGAGGCTTGCATGCATAAGCATGAGGGGATGCCCACCAAGTGCAAGATCACCTTTTGTGAGAGCACTGAAGACAATCCTCTAAGTGAAGAAACAGGAGGAATCCAGAGATTAACCCACCGCAAGGTGTGGGTCCTCAAGTCCTGATCTGAACAGACGAGACGTGCACAATGCAGCAGAATTATAAAACAGGGAGCGGAAATGCTACTCTCTCCGGACACGGGGAGCTGAGTCTCGTTTCTGCCAGACGGTAGCATTGCGCCTCATCATGACAAGGGTCCATCACCTCCTGGAGAAAAGCAAGACGGCCTGGAGCATCTCGGGTCTGAAAACAGACGGCGGCACACATCACAGTGACTCAGGAACCACAGAGAGACACGAGAGGTCATGCGGCACACTTCCATGACCTGTGGGTCGAGTGTGATGAAACGCACTTGCGGGGTGCACCGGGCAGAGCCACGGGGGACAGGGAACGCTGGGTGCCCTGCTAGAGAGGAGGGGTGGCCCTGCCAAGCGTTGAGGCTCTACCTTGAGAGACCAGAGAAACAAGGGAAGGGTCCAGATCAAGGGGAATAAACAGAAATGAAAACAGGAGAGAATTACTGAAACGAGAGGCTGGCTGGTCCTTTGAAAAGCAGCAAAAAACAAACAAACAAACAAACAAACAAAAAACCTGACAGAGATAGGAAAAAACAAAAGTTGCCAATATCAGAAATGAGATCCTGGAGCTGTTACAAAAATAATAAGAAAACACTACAAAAAAAGTTTATGCCCATAAATCTGACAGCTGGGCACGGAG